ATCAGGTACCGAGACAGTTCCTCAAACCACTCTTGCACAGGGGTTGTTGGCTGAGATCAGCTCAGAGCGACATAGTGTCAAGCATATGCTGATTGATCACTTTAAGAAGGACCATGGAATGAAAGTTGGATCTACCATGAGATTTGCTATTGAGGACTTAGTTTTTAAGCTCTTTGGAGAGGGACCTTCTGTGAGTAAGACTCCTACGCAGACACCTTCCTCTAGTCCTTCTATCACAGCTCCTACACACAATAAGGTGAAAGAACATATACAGAGAGACATGGATGGCATGGGCTTTGGAAACTGCATACAAAATGCGGAAGACGATGTCCCTACAGCAAGCAGGTCAATCTCCCACGATTCAGATGTCGTAGCACAGATAGACGCACCTACGACTAGTACAATGAGATCAGATGCACCCGCTTTTCGCCCGACATTCAGTGCACCACCATCTGAACAGTTCTTATCACCAAAGCAGGCTCCTACACGCAGGCGAGACCCCTCTCCAACGAGCGAGCCAGACATCGCAGACTACTATGATCCAGAAATGTTTCAAACCAGACGCATGACCCGATCAATGTCTATGTACTACCACCCGAAGATTTACCCTCGGGAATACCCTTGAGTACCTTTCATTAGTTTTTGTTTGTGTCCTGTTTACTGTGATTGCATTTTATCTTCAGATATTTGTTACAATTTACATTTGCTGGAGGTCAGGTCCATGCCCCCCTCCTCTATTTGTTTTCTCGCTTTTCACTATATAAAATAAACCACACTAGTGGTATTTGCTTAAAAAAAAAAAACCCTAAAACCCTAAACCCTAAACCCTAAACCAAACCAACCATTCCATTTTCTCTCTAGAGATAAGAGATTTTTGGAGATTTCTAGCCACCCAAAATGGAATCACATTCGGCTACATTCCGGCCGCCAAGGCCACCGGATCTGACCACCAATAGATCCCCCTCACTTCCCTCTATAACCTACACCCAACCGCCGGCAATAAACTGGCCGGAATCTGATGAAAATAGGGGCCAAAAACCGGATCTGCCGCAAGCTATTTCTGCCGGAAAACACTGTTCCGGTGATACCCACGCCGGCGCACCACTGCCAGTCGATAGCCCTCTTCCAGACGATCACAACCATGGTCGCCGTTCACCATGTGGAGCTCTCAATCGACCGGAATTGCACCTGGAAGGTCCGCCTGCGCTGCCTGTCGAATCGCTGCCTCCCTTTCATTTTTCCGGTGCCACCAGTGGGACCCACAGTGGCGGACCACCCCATACCGACTCCTCTTATCATGGGCAACATCCATATCATATGGGTCTTCATCAATTTCATCCCAATCTCGCGAATCGAACGGATCCAATCCCTCAAGGTCAAAAGTCCGATTCTCTCTTAATTGACCCCACAAATGTGTTCGATTCTGCAATTAAATGTGGGGTAAATGAAATTCAAGCCCCAAATACTCTGGGTAATGTTCCAATTGCTGAGATTACATCATTAATTTGCCGAATTTTGGAATCAAATGGTGTTCTTCACACCTCTAGCGCTGCTGGTCAGATTTCTTCCATTTCTGAGCATTATTTGAGAAAATTGACACCTCCGATGAACTCAGAAGGTCCAAAAACATCAGAAGGGCCTATCAATTCGATCGAAAATATTACATTGGATTTCGTGCCAAAATGCACACAAATCGAGGCAGTTGGTACTGCTGTTTCTGGCCAGAATTCTGTATTTTTGACACTGCCATCATCTCCAGAGCATATGAAAACCTTTGGAGAGACCATTGCTCCAGCTGAAACTGACGGGAAATCTGCATTGGGAAATGTGCCAAGTGGCACACATACCGAGGTGAATCCTTCTAATGTTTTTGGATCTCCTTTGATCCCAGGAACTGCACCATTGGATCCAAATCATGGAAAAACCCCAAGGATCAACACTTTACCGCCTAGTACATCCCAAACTGCGCGTACCATCAACGCGCGAGTCCCTCCTGCACGTAAGCACCCCCCCCCCACCCCGTGCAACACCACGAGCCACTGCAACTTCCACAACTGCTCATTCTGGTCCAAAATCTTATGCTGCAGCAGTTGGTAATGTGCCAGTAGTTTCTCAAGCAGAGAGGAGTCAAAAGAAGTCCTTTGCTCAAATTCTTCGAGCATCACAAGAATCTACTGACCACAAGCTCGTTTCTAGGGACCCTTTCATCCATCATGGTGAACCTGCAGTTCTATTCACAGAGGCAGATGAAGAAGTCTTGGCTGAGCCATATAAGTTTACCCTTGTTGGCAAATTTGTGCACCGGAGGCCAGCTATGCTTAAGGTACATGAAAACTTTTCTCGCTTTGGTTTTTGTGGTGATTATACTATTGGTCTAATTGATGCCACACACATTTTGATTCACTTGGCGCACGAGGATGACTATGCACGGTTATTCCTCAAACCACTGTGGTATATTGATGGTTCCCCTATGAGAGTCTTCAAATGGACTCCAAGCTTTAGTCCACTGCAAGAGACCCCAATTGCTCCAGTCTGGGTATCCTTTCCACTTCTACCTATTCACTTTCGGGCTAAGAGCAGTTTGTATGCTATTGCTAAAGCTATTGGTCTTCCATTGCGTATTGATGAGGCAACATCTGATCTTCGCCGCCCTAGTGAGGCTAGAGTATGTGTGGAGGTTAATTTGGACTACGATCTCCCTGACAGAGTTTGGATTGAGAGGGAAAAGATCGGTGGCTATTGGCAACAAGTTATATATGACCAGAAGCCAGAATTTTGTTACAAATGCAGACATTTTGGGCACTTAGAAGTTCAGTGTAAACTTGGCATAAGACCAGCACCACCTCCTGTTGTTGAGCCTATCCCTAAACCTATTATCCCTGCTAAGGATAAGGACAAGGGAAAGGCAATTCAGGGTGAGCCACGTCAGAGGTGGACCCCAGTTCGTAGAGAACAGAACAAAACAACAGGCTAGCACATCAGGTGTACATGTTTCCCAAGCAGATCAACCTATTGTAGCCCAGTCAATTGCATCCATAGTAGACACTGCTTCAGTTAATCCTCCAAGAGTGCAGTCAATAGCTCCAGACAATATTGCTCCTTTGAGTGCCATTACACTAGCCTTGGCTCCATCACAGCCTGTTATTCATGTTGACAGTGATTACACTAACCCCTTGGCTCACGACATGTCTCGGCGAACACATGATTCAGAGGTTACAGATAGAGTTGTCAGACAGCTTCCCGGTCCTACACCTGGCCGTACTGGTAATCCTGCCTCCAGCTCTCCACTTATTTGTCAACAGAACATTGAAGCTTCTATTCCTTCAGTAGAATCTGATTAGTCGGATACTGAAGCTACATCACAGATTGAGGTCCATCAGTAGGGTGTGTTCCGTAGGTCTTCTGCTGAGGATTTAGTGGGTATGGCTGGTAGATCAGAGGATGACGGTTTTGTCCTAGTCACAAGAAAGAAACACCCACGTTCTACTGATACTCCACATCCGAGCAGAAGGATCACCAGGAGTCAGTCACATGATACCTCTTCACATTCTCCATCCCTATGAGTGCCATCATTTGGAATGTGAGAGGTGTAGCTAGTGTAGCTACTCGTCGGAGCCTGAAGAAACTTATACAGCTTCATCAGGTTTATCTGTTAGTTTTACTAGAGCCCTTTATTCTTCAACACAGCTTTGCATATATTCGACGTTACCTGCACTTCGATACGGGAGCTCAGAATGAATCGAATAAGATTTGGTTTTTCTGGAACTCGGGGACTAATGTTACTATTATTGTTGATCATCCCCAGTTTCTTCACGTTAAAGTTGAGGACCCCAGACTAGCTCTTCCCATCTATTTTACTCCAGTTTACGCTTCTTGTGATGCTTCTGTCAGGAGGGATTTGTGGGCGGGTCTTCACCACATCTCCCTCGATATGGAGGACCCTTGGATAGTTGGGGGAGACTTTAACGTTATTACTCATGATGGAGAGCGCACGGGTCATAATACTCGTGATCGAGGCACTACAGCTTTTTCTGATATGATGTTGGACAGTGGTCTAGAGGATGCAGGTTTCCTTGGGAATCGATACACTTGGACCAATGGGCGGGTCAGGAAGAGATTGGATAGAGTACTCATTAATTCTTCAGCTGCAGCACTTTGTCAACAGCTTACAGTGAAGCACTTGAATAGGACTTCATCTGACCATTCACCCTTATTACTTCAGTGGACTTCTGATGATGACTTGGGGCCTAGGCCTTTCAGATTCCTCAACGTTTGGACCAAGCATCATGATTTTTTAGCATTTGTCGCTCAGAAGTGGTCACTCCCCACTCATCTTACGGGGATGGCCGCTCTTTGGGAGAAATTCTTCAGGATGAAATAGGGATTGCGCTGGTGGAATCGACATGTGTTTGGAGACATTTTCCAGCGAGTGAGGGATGCTGAGGACAGGGTTGATGAGGCAGAAATTGTATTTGACAGTGACCCTACACCGGAACATCGTGACATACTGCATCAGGTTCAGGCAGCTTTGAACCAGACTTTATCTATTGAGGAGGGCTTCTGGAAGCAAAGGGCTGGCTCACGTTGGGTATGTGAAGGAGATCACAATACTCGATACTTCCATGCGATGGTTCAAGGACGCCGTATCAGATCGCGTATTAGGTCCATCAGGACACAGGCAGGGGAAGTCTTAGCTACTCCTGCTGATTCTGATGTCATTCTGAGGCTATTGACGGCGGATGATAATTTGGCACTAAACCGCTCCCCTTTGATTCATGAGGTACGGGAGGCAGTTTTCAGTATTGATGCTGACAATGTCGCTGGCCCGGATGGCTTCTCATCCCTATTCTTCCAGCATTGTTGGGATATTATTCAGGAGGATGTTTACAGGGCGGTATTGGACTTCTTTGATGGTGGTCATCTTCCACGGGGTTTTGCTGCTACTTCTATTGTCTTGCTACCTAAAAAGGATGGTGCTTGCAGATGGACTGAATTCAGGCCAATCAGCTTATGCACAGTGTTCAATAAGATTATTACTAAGCTTTTGAACACTCGGTTGAGTACACTGCTACCGCGCATTATTTCCCCTCCACAGAGTGGTTTCATCCCAGGCCGTCTGATTGGAGATAATGTTTTATTGGCTCAAGAGCTTCTCTACACTTTAGATGATAGAGTGCGAGGGGGAAACACTATGCTGAAGTTAGACATGGCTAAAGCATATGATCGCATGGACTGGGGCTTCATTTATTCTGTATTGGAGGCATTTGGATTTGATCAGATCTGGATTGACAGAATCAGGCGGTGCATTTCGGAGTGTCGTTTCTCCGTACTCCTAAATGGCCGCCCATGTGGCTTTTTTCCCTCCTCACGAGGACTCAGACAGGGTGATCCTATCTCCCCATCCTTGTTCATCATTGCAGCAGACTACTTCTCACGTTTGCTCACTCAGAGGTTTCAAGAGTATCCCAGTATGTGTTATCGACATGGAGGTTGTGCTCTTGTCTCACATCTCTCATTTGCTGACGATATGATTATCTTTGCCAACGGTCAGAAACAGTCTATCAGGAGGGTCTTAGACTGTTTGGAGCATTATGAAGGAGTTTCTGGCCAATTGGTGAATAGAGACAAGAGCGGTATTATACTATCCAGACGGGCATCCACTAGTCAGATCAGACGACTAGAGATTTTGACGGGCTTCAGACATCAGCAGCAGCCTTTCACTTATTTGGGTGTCCCCTTATTCAAGGGGACTAAGAGGAGCTTCCTTTATGATGACCTTATCCAAAAGATAAGGGATAGGATATCAGGCTGGGCCTCACGATTACTATCGCCTGGGGGTCGTATTACATTACTGAGGTCAGTACTTTCTTCCATACCTTTACATCTTCTTCAGATTATGCAGCCGCCCAAGACAGTGCTGAAGAAACTTGAGAGCATCTTTGCCCGATTCCTATGGGACTCTAAGGATCAAGCACGACGTCTACATTGGAGGAGTTGGAAGAAGATTTGCCTTCCTACTGATGAGGGAGGCCTCGGCTTTAGGAGACTACAGGATGTGGTGGACACCTTCTCCATGAAGCTCTGGTGGTTGTTCCGATCTCAGAGGTCACTTTGGGCTCAGTTTTTACTGGGCAAGTATTGTAAGGGGACGTATCCTTCACTTGCAGCAGTTCCTAGTTCAGCTTCCCCTACCTGGAAGAGGCTGAAATCAGTTGGGCCACGGACGGATCCACACATTGCTTGGCACCTTGGAGCCGGTCAGATTTTCTTCTGGCATGATTGTTGGATGGGCGAGACCACGTTGGCATCCCTATTCCCCCACAGACAGCACACATCTGCGAGGGTACAGGATTTTTTTGATGACACTGGGTGGGATTTCGGACGGTTATTACAGGCCCTTCCTTCTCACATGGCGGGACAGATAGGGGCGATATCTTTATGTGCAGATGCCCCGGACCGAATTGTTTGGAAAATTACTTCGGATGGTGAATTTACCACCAAATCAGCATGGCAACTTGTTCGTTCGGTTCGCCAGCCTCAGGACTCATATCGACTGCTGTGGAGCTCTATTTTGCCTGCCACTATTTCATTCTTCTACTGGAGACTATGGCAGGATCTCATACCAGTAGATGTTGTTATTCAGAGGAGAATTGGATGTCAGTTGGCTTCTCGTTGTCAGTGTTGTTCCGAGATTGAGACCATCAATCATATTTTCACGAGCAGCAGCATCTCCGACCAGGTATGGAAGCACTTTGGAGACATCTTTCAGATACCTATGACTTCAGGAGAGGGGGCCAGACAGAGGTTCCAGAGATGGCGGTATTATGGACAGCACGTCTGTCGTGGACACATTCGTATTATCATTCCTCTACTGGTATTTTGGTTTCTATGGACTGAGAGGAATGATGCGAAGCATAGAGGTATTCGTATGGTGGCCAGACGTATTATTTGGAGGGTCTACCGCATGATCTCCTTCCTTCATATGGGAGGACTATTTCGAGTCGAGCATTGGCGAGGAGATGTGACACTTGCATCCTTTTTTGGAATTTCTTTGACCCGTCCTCTCCCACCACCACCTATTATGATTGTTTGGCGTACTCCACCTATTGGATCCTACAAGATCAATACCGATGGATGCGTCAAAGATGGATTTGCAAGTGGTGGAGGCATCATTAGGGACCACGCAGGATACTGTATCAGGGCATTCTCAGCATCATATGGAACATGTTTCATTTTGGAGGCTGAGCTCAGAGCCATACTAGATGGGCTTCTATTGGCCAGAGGACTTGGGATATCAGCTATTTGGATTGAGGTAGATTCAATGCTGGCCATTCACTGCATCATCAAAGGTGGAGGACCATGGACGATTTAGGGTATTCTAAGACAGATCAGAGACGACATTTGCCTTGACAGAGACACAGTTTCTCATATCTACAGAGAAGGTAACCAGGTTGCAGATTCTCTTGCTTCAGAGGGTTGGGATCACCAACATTACCAAGAATATGGACCACTTGACCTGCCCCGACAAATTAGGGCATTGGTGCAGATCGACAGATATGGATTGCCCAGCTTTAGAGGTTCGTAGTTTAGGCAATCATTTTTTCATTTTTCTTGTACAAGGGAGTAGTACTTCCTCATTTACTTTGTTCTTTTTTAATTTTCCATTTGTTGCACTGTTGCTTTTTGGAGGTCAGGTTTATGCCCCCCTCCTTTCCTGTACTCTTGATTTTTATGAAATAAATATGGTTGGGGAACCCTTAACCCCCATCGACCTTCCTTGGTGGACCCTAAAAAATTATTAAGGATGTTTCAAACCAGACGCATGACTCGATCAATGTCTATGTACTACCACCCGAAGATTTACCCTCGGGAATACCCTTGAGTCCCTTTCATTAGTTTTTGTTCGTGTCTTGTTTACTGTGATTGCATTTTATCTTCAAATATTTGTTACAATTTACATTTGCTGGAGGTCAGGTCCATGCCCCCCTCCTCTATTTGTTTTCCCGCTTTTCATTATATAAAATAAACCACACTAGTGGTATTCGCTTTAGAAAAAAAAAACCCTAAACCCTTAAACCCTAAACCCTAAACCCTAAAACCCTAAACCATGAAAATAAATGAAATGTATTGACTTTCTCTCTCTACCTCCAAAACGCTCTCCCTTCTCTCTAGAATGGGAGAAACCCACCAAAACTCCAATAAACCCGATCCACCACCAAAACCACCGGATTGCACCACCCCAAGTGGTGGAAAATCATCACCAACAACGACCCAAACACATCCTATAACACCAATATCATATTCATCCCCCAACGCAATAGATCTAAGTTTGAAAAATCATGGCACGAATCCCAAGGTCGTCGAAACACCCACTTCTGATCAGAATTTGGACATGGGACCATCACCAATGAACTCAGAAGGCCCAAAAACCCCTAGGGTGGTGTCCTGGACGTCCAATTTGGCCGGAATTGAAGCATTGGAAAAAGTACAGCCCGAAACTGATTTTGAAATTAATTCTTGTATGATGGTCCAACAGATACACGCACCAGATATTCAGAATGCCCATGAGATGGCGAACCTTCGGTCAAAAAATCACGGCAATCGGAGGTCGGACGCTCCTGTTACGGCACCAAACGTAAACGGGCAGTTTGTCGAAAAATTGCAATTTTCGGCCTCTACGGTTCTCACCTCGGGAAACGCGCCTGACCGCGTTATTCAGCATGAAATTCCGCACAAGATTGTTGAAAATCATAAATTTCTGCCTCCGGTTGATTTTGGCCGGAAAACGGAGCCGCTACCGGCCGGCCGGCGGCGTCCCGGCGGCCCTCGGGCAACTTTTGATCAGAATGTTCTTCCAGTTAATTTGAATCCATTTTCATCATCGGTTTTTCCACATGAGGCCCAGACAGTGCTCAATCAGGGCCGAAAGACATATGCTACTGCAGTTTCTAGCCGTCCGGGCCTGTCTCAAGCTGAACGGAGTTCACGGAAGTCGTTTGCATCGGTTGTACAGGGTATAGATGACTCTTCCACTGCTGGGTTTGCTGCTAAAGAACCCTTTATACATATGGGTAAGCCGGCAATAGTTTTGACTGAGTCCGAGGAGGCTACACTCGCTGATCCTTACAAGTATACACTTGTGGGGAAATTTCCACATCGCAAGCCAATCATGAGGAAGGTACGTGAGATTTTTTCTAAGTTTGGGTTCCATGGTTGTTTCGAGGTGGGACTGATTGACACAACACACATTCTTATACACCTTACACATGAGGAGGATTACAGCAGGCTTTTTCTTAAACCTTCATGGTATATTGATGGTTGTCCGATGAGAGTCCTTAAGTGGACATGTGACTTTACACCTAAGCAAGAGACTCCGATCGTTCCCGTATGGGTATCGTTCCCTCTGCTTCCAGTACATTTACGTGCGAAGGGGTTCCTTTTCGCCTTATCTTGGGCAATAGGAATGCCCTTGAGAATTGATGAGGCCACCACCGACTTGAGACGACCTAGTGAGGCAAGGGTGTGCATTGAGGTGAATTTGGAGCATAAGTTGCCCGACAGGGTTTGGATTGAGCGTGCTGGTAACCGTGGCTTCTGGCAGACAGTTATCTATGAGAAGCGGCCAATTTTTTGCTTTTCTTGTAAACACTTGGGTCATTCTTATGATCAGTGTACTACAGTTCCTCCTCCTCCTCCTCCTACAGTTGCGCACCCCCCTGTTCGGCCCCCTATTACTAGGACTGATAAGGATAAGGGCAAGGTGACGTTTGTGGAGCCAAAGAAGCA